TAATCAGTCACAAGAACGTCGAATCTGAATCACTTGAAAAAAACACGGGGGGTGCTTAACTTTTTCCAGGTGTATATTTAGATCACCAGCCTGTGACCTTAAAGAAGAGGTAATATCAAGATAACACTTAGGATGAGATGTAGTGACTAGCTAAAATCTATAAAACTACACTTAATACCAAGATAACACATACGTTGAGATGTAGTGACTAGCTAAAATCGATAAAACTTCACTTAATACGAAGATAACACTTACATTGAGATGTAGTGACTAGCTAAAATTGATAAAACTACACTTAATACCAAGATAACACTTACGTTGAGATGTAGTGACTAGCTAAAATTGATAAAACTACACTTAATACCAAGATAACACTTACGTTGAGATGTAGTGACTAGCTAAAATCGATAAAACTACACTTATTACCAAGATAACACTTACGTTGAGATGTAGTGACTAGCTAAAATCGATAAAACTACACTTATTACCAAGATAACACTTAGGTTGAGATGTAGTGACTAGCTAAAATCGATAAAACTACACTTAATACCAAGATAACACTTAGGTTGAGATGTAGTGACTAGCTAAAATCGATAAAACTACACTTAATACCAAGATAACACTTACATTGAGATGTAGTGACTAGCTAAAATTGATAAAACTACACTTAATACCAAGATAACACTTACGTTGAGATGTAGTGACTAGCTAAAATTGATAAAACTACACTTAATACCAAGATAACACTTACATTGAGATGTAGTGACTAGCTAAAATCGATAAAACTACACTTATTACCAAGATAACACTTACTATATCATAAATAGTAAACAAATCATGCATTTACATATCTTTTCCACCCAATGGAAGAGAACATTAAACTTTTCAAGATCCTGAAAATTTCTATTTATTGGTTGATATTTGCTACTTCAGAGTTAGTTAGCATTCCATGCTTGCAACACAAGGCTAATCTCATATTAATCTCCTGTGTTGTGCTACTTTAAATCCACAGCTACATCAGCAACTGCTTTGATCATGCCAGTGCCAAAGCAGCCTCCATTCCTGCATGCAAAATCGAAAGATTGGATCCTTGATCGATAAGACACTGGATCATAAAATGTTCCACATACAAGACTGTATATCTGACCACACCTAATGGGGCAATGCTTTTCACAGGTATATTGCTTCACTTTCTCTGTTTTTCCTTTCTTATTTACCACATATTTACTACCTGAAAGCGTGAATGTTTTCCACATGTAGTTTAACACTGTCAAATCACCAATGTAAATAAAACACAGTTGGGACTTTTAAACAAGAAGTTGATTAAGAAAACCATAAGTTCCAAAACAGTACTTTAGACTTATGATAAATATAATTTGCCCACTTATGCACATACTCCACTAATGTATAGATGGAACAAGTCACTTGACCCAGTTAATGTTTGAGAATATGACTTGTTAGTTACCATGTACAAACACCAAATAAAGATAGGACTCGTGTAAATATATTACGCCTACCACAAACAGTTTGATACTTACTGGATTTTGGTTTTATTAAGTACAAATAATTTGACTAGCCCAGGGGGAAAAAATAAACTAATATGCATATAACAATAACTTTGATCCTTTAAAGAAAAAAAAAGAAGAATAAATTACGATTAAATATTACACCAGATTAGACCATTAGTGGACTTTAGTTGTAAATATTACACCAGATTAGACCATTAGTGGACTTTAGTTGTAAATATTACACCAGATTAGACCATTAGTGGACTTTAGAAAAGATTACACCAGATTAGACCATTAGTGGACTTTAGAAAAGA